TAATTAGAGAACACCTATCTGGTGACTTATTGAGGGCCTACTACACTCTAGGATTTTCAGAGCAGAACACAGAGTGTGTTCAGGAGTCAAGAAAGGCTTCTTAGGATAGATAATGTTTGAGGTACATTGGAAATTATAAGATGGACAAGTTGTTTATTTTACATGCAAGTAGATAATTACCCACTTGAGGTTTAGCCAAAGTAGGCTAAACCTATAGAAAAGTCAAAAGAGATAGTAAACCTGTCTGTTAACTATATTCTAAGAAAGCATTATGAAGACGGCCTTCAGAGAAGATGGGTCACCCAGAGATGAATCAACTTTCCTAGTTTGTCTTAAATTATGGAGTTACCATATTCCTTCAAAACTTACATGACGTGGGTTCAACCCATTGGGAGGTAGCTTGAGATGAATAGAACCTTTATGATAGAATTAGTACTATGAAGCTGGGTGCTGGTGGCTCACACCTGTAATCCTAGCTACTCAGGAGGCTGAGATCTGAGGATCACGGTTTAAAGCCAGCTTGGGTAGGAAAGTCTGAGATACTCTTATCTCCAATAAACCACCAGAAAACCAGAAGTGGCGCTGCTGCTCAAGTGGTAGAGTACTCACTTTGAGCTGAAGAGCTCAAGGACAGCGCCCAGGCCTGGAGTTCAAGCCCCATGACCAACCAAAAAAAAAAAAAAAGAATTTATGGAAAGCAGTATGGAGGTTCCTCACAAAAGACTTCACATAGAGCTCCCCTATGACCCAGCAATCCCACTTTTGGGCATTTACCCAAATGTTTATAAACGAGACCACACTAAAGCTACCAGCACAACTAGGTTTATTGCAGCATTATTTACCATAGCTAAGATATGGAACCAACCCAGATGCCCCTCAGTAGATGAATGGATCAAGAAAATGTGGTATATATACACAATGGAATTCTATGCCTCCATCAGAAAGAATGACATTGCCCCATTTGTTAGGAAATGGAAAGGCTTGGAAAAAATTATATTAAGTGAAGTAAGCCAAGCCCAAAGAAACATAGATCCCATGGTTTCCCTTATTTGCAATATCTAGTATATGTATGGGTCAAGCAGAAAAGGTCAGATAATGTGATGTTAGGAAAATGAACCCTTAGATATGTATTTAAATGTTTTTTTTTTCTTTCATGCATTTGTTTCTAACCCATTTATAAGATTATCTCTTTGTTGCTTTGTATGTCCCTCCCCCACAGTATAACCCCTGCTTTCACTATATTTGATGTCAGTATAACTTGTGGAGGAGAAGGGGAAAAACAAGTCGTTTAAGGATACAGGTGGACCTGTTGCAACAATGAGAAGTACAAGTTGTCATGTCGAAAACGAACTTTACAACTTTGGTGGGGGGGGGGGGAGGATTGGATATGGGGGGCGGGGGGAAAGCTGGGAAGGGATGAGAAGGGTAAACAAAGGAGGAGGCTGCAATGCTTGATAAGAAATGTACTCATTATCTTGCCCATGTAATTGTAACCCCTCTGTACAGTATGTTCACAATAAAAATAAATAAATAAATAAAAGAATTTAGTACTACAAGATGGTCCCAGAGAGCTCTCAGTTTATGTTTCCAGTCCTACTCCCACGTAGGACACGGCAAGAAGTCAGCTATCTGCCAGCCAAGAGCGGACCCTCACCAGAATCCAACCATGCTGGTACCATGATCTTGGGCTGAAAGATCAGAACTTAGATTACAAGCCTCTAAAACTGTGAGAAATAAGCATCTTGTTATTCCACCCATTTGTTCTATGGTGCTTTGTTATAGCAGCACAGATAGATGGAGACATTTGGGATATAGAATTTTTTCCTTTAAAATACAGATAGCATTGGCAAACCATTCCAGGATTCCTGGAACTTGAAATTTTCAGTTCTAAAACCAGGAATTGTTCATTCTGCCCATCATATTGTTTTGTTTCTAAAGGGAGTTCCTTCCTTTCATTGGACAAGGGCAATATTTTTTTCCTGAAGATTCCAGAAAGTATCCTAGGTTCTGTTTCCCCCCAGGAGTTAGCCTCTGAGAATGGCATAGGACGTACTGCCTTTAGAATATTAAAGTGGAAGACTATTTTGTGAGCAAATCCTTTACTTCTCTCATGACTAGTCAGACTGAGGAAATGGTCCACAGAGGGGTACCTGAGATTGTATTTATTTTCTATTAATAAATCTGGGCTTCTCTCGGGGTACCAAGATAAGCTTGATTAAAGTTCTCTTGCAAACGATCCCCAAGTGATGGTTTCCTTGCCTGTAATTCAAAGTCAAGTGCAGCTTCTTGTCAAATGGTTGCCAGGAGAGAGGCTGAGAGGGCAACTCCCCAACCCCTCTGCCATGGCAACGTGCCATGATTTCCTCGTCTGTCTTCTTTCTGCCAAGGTCTAGGTTTCTGAGGGTAGTATGCTACCTGTGATTGTTTAGTTAATGTTGCAGAGAGGCAAGAACCTTTCTAACCTTCCTTCTACACCGATATTACCAACCTGCTACTGAGTTTTTTTCTTTTGTGACCTTAAGCTTCAGCTGACATCATTCTTTCTTACTTTCTCAAGGCTTTTCCTGAAAGCATCAATACTATGAACCCATAAAAGTACAATTCACTTCAATGGTAGCTGAAGTGAGCTACTGCAAGAATGTTGTGTTTTTCTGATTTAATAGCAGGAAGTATGTTGAGACTAGTGCCTCAGTTCCTTCATCTGTGTAATGGAAAGATACTTGTAGTTTAAGACAAGAATGACTTGGGGTATGAAAAAGCTTTTAGAACCATGCCTGGCACATTGGTGGATAGTTAATAAATGTTAGGTCTTACTATCACTGTAACTAAGAATATTGTTTGGTTCAATTGGTATTCAATTTGATTTTCTAAGAAACACTAGCCAAATTTATAAGTAAAAAAGTAATAATCTGCTCTGATTGTAAGTGCCCATGTAAAGGTATTGTACTGGATCCAAGTTAAGTTGTCTTCAAGCAGAACTGACCCTAAGAGTTTAAACAAAATCACCTGATTTTCCTATCCTTACATTACTTGGATCACCCACCAACAGGCATTTGTGGAGTCCCTGTGTAATCTCCTTTCATCAGGCTATTTTCAGAAAGAGACTTTTCCAAAAAGACATTTCCAAAAATGTCCCATAAATATTTCAGAATGGGGTCTTATCAGCCTAACTGACATCATGTGTCCATCTCTGAACCACTCTCTGTGGCCATAATTGTATGTCTGTTCCATCCATGTTGTATGGAGGGGATCTGAGGACATGGGTAGGTCTGACAAAACCACACCCACTAAGGGCAAAACAAGGGAATTCCCCAAAGGAAATTCGGGCTATTATTAGAAAAATGAAATGACATGGTAGGTAGATAACAAAAAATGTGATCTAATATCAGTTCCCATCCTTGAGAGTAAATAGGCAAATAAAGCTTAAATCTACTTGGCTATTTATTAAGAGGTAAACATAAAAAATATTTATGGCTTGTTGTAAATTCAGATATCCAATCCCAACATCATGAAGTCTGATTTTGGTAATCCTGAAGCAAGGCCCAGGCATCTGCATGTTTAGAAACTTTCCAGGTAAATCTGGTGTAATGTGATATATAAGTATTGTGTTGTAGTTTTTTTTTTGTTCTATTTGACAAAGGTAACATGTATGCTATATATACTTCCAGGAAATTTAATCACATGCCCTAGAATCTAAAGAAAGTGCCTCCATACTTTTTGTGTTTCCTTTTTTTAATTTTACCAGTATTGAAGATTGAATTTAGGGACTTGCACTTGCTGGGTAAACACTCTACTACTTGAGACACCACTAGTCCTCTGGCCTCACCTTTTATACTGAAAGCAGGGGTGGAATCACTATATAGTGATTAATCACTGTATCAGTCACATTCATTTATTTGCTTGGTGTGATAGATATAGCAATCAAAGATACAGCATCCTGCTCATGAGAAGCTCTTAGATTCAACAAGAAAAGATGAAGAAACCAGACACGGCCAAGACTAGACAATACAATGAGGGCTGTGATGGAGAAAGCTTGCATGATGTGGGAGTTAATCCAGGAGTAGATTTTGGTTCAAATGTAGCTACAGACATTTAAAGGGAGCTATCAGAAATCTCAATCTTTCACTCTGTCTCTTTTTCCTCTCTTCACCCTCTTTTTGATTAGCCTTTTTCTCAGCTCTAGTTTCTTTAGGGTTTCTTTTTTTTTTTTTTCAGCCAGCCTCTTCCCAAGTGAGGTCAAAATTACCACAAATACTTCCAATTTTACATCCTACCAAAAATACATCCTACCTTCTTTGTCCATGGCAATAGACAATGGCCTCAGGCTGGGTCTGATTGGCTATGTTTGGGTCACATGTTTTCCCCTCTACCAATCCAGTTGGCCAGTAGTGGGCTAGAACCAGGGTCTAGGGTTAGCTTCACTGAAACAATTAGCTTGCCAGAGTGGTAAGGAGAATGGGTCCTGCTAGGTGAAGAACAGGAAAGGTATTCCAGAGGAAAACAGCACATCATGACTTCAAGTCACCAGGCTGGGACTAAATAACAAAGTACTTGGTGCTTCTGCAGTGTAAGGTAGTGGGAAGAAGAGAGACTAGGCATATCTGCTTAACCACTGTGCAACCCTGAACTCCCAAGTCATGCTCCCTCTCTGGCCTTCATGCTCCGTGGGACCAAATCTCTGAAGCTCTTTTTTTGGTTCTAGAAATAGAGATGCCTGTATGTCAATACTCGGATATTTCAAATCTCCAATGCCCAGATGAGAACTGAACAAAATGCACCACCACAGTGTAAGGAAGACATATAAATTATTTTCCATTTTGTTCTCCCACAGCAGAGGCTGAGTGGATCAGCATCCTCAAGTAACTCTGCCAAAATGTCCCCTCATTGAGATAGCTTTTGTGCAGACATTATGAGACATATTATTTCTCTGTCACATGTTGACCTTAGAGATATTTTCACTAGAAGATTTAGTTTGAAGTTGGTAAAATGAGACAAAATGTAGTCTTTGTGTTGCCAGTTCACTTTTGAAAACTAGTGAATGTGGTGTCAAAAAAGGCACAAATAAATGCTTTGCAGCCATTTCCTGCCCTTAAATTTTGATATCTTTGGTGTTGGAGGTGCATAAGCAACAGTACGTGCTTTTGTGTTCATCTGTATACATAGGTCATCTTTGAGGTAGCCAGCTTAGGTGTGTGGTTCCCTTTACCAATTTGAACTAAATTCTCTTCATGTGAAGGATGAGTGCTTGGGGTAGATTGCTCTAGTTTGATACCACGTGGGACACAAAGGTGACTTCGGATAAGGATGTCCTTGATGATTTTGAACTTCACAAGTTGCTTGGATCACATAAAACTTCCAGGAGTCTGAGTAGTGAATGCCTGGCAAACATCTGGGAATATGCATTTAAGAGAATATATGAATAAATGTTTTAATATTTGAAAACATTGAGACAAAAAAACCCAAACTCAAACAGGAAAAAAAGCTTCTTGAGATGTCATCTCAACCAATCAAGTCTGAGTATACTTTATTGTTGTGAGCCTGCTACCCCAGCTATACAGGAAGCATAAATGGGAGGATTGTGATCCAGGGCTATTCAGGCATAAATGCTAGGCACTATTAGAAAAATAACTAAATCAGAAAGATCTGGAGAATGGTCCATGTGATAGAGTACTTGCCTAACAAGCCCAAGGCCCAGAGTTCAAATCTTAGTACTACCAAAAAATAGAACTTTAGGAATAGAAATTAAAGACAAGATTCACCATGGTTGAAAACTAGCATTTGACACTAACTTAATAGTAACAGATGTGAGAATGAAAAATGAAGACTTTTTGAATCTTGATGGATGTTATCCTACACCTTACCAGTCCTTCCATCTTTAGGCCATTGCCTTTGGTCTTCAGAGCTGACACACTAGTCATATGATCACTGACAGTGCCATAGCAAAGCTGAGAAGAAATAAGTTTGTAGTGGAAAAACTATACTCCAGTACTAATAATGGGCAGGATTTAGATGTTCAGGGCTGAGGGCCTGGTAGAGATTTTGCCTGCAAAGTATGAAGTTCTGGGTTCAATATTAACTACCCCTGCCACATACACCAAAGCAAGAAGGAAGGAAGGAAGGAAGGAAGGAAGGAAGGAAGGAAGGAAGGAAGGAAGGAAGGAAGGAAGGAAGGAAGGAAGGAAGGAAGGAACTAAGGAAGGAAAGGAAAGGAAAGGAAAGGAAAGGAGAGGAGGGAGGGAGAGAGAAGAGGGGAGGGGAGGGGAGAAGACGAGAGGAGAGGATAGAAGAGGAGGGGAGAGGAGAGGAGGGGAGGAGAGGGGAGGGGAGGGGAGAGGAGAGGAATATCTGGAAGGTTCGGTCTGGTTAAAGTATGTAAAAACCTTGATACCCAGCTTGGTCACCAGACAGCAACTGTATTGTTTTCTATTGTAGCCAACTATCCATGAATCCCATTGTTTCTTGTTTTTGTTTTTTTCTTTTTTCCTTCCTTCCTTTGTTTCTTTCTTTCATTCATTTGTTCGTTCTTTCATTCTTTTTCTTTCTCTCGTTCTTTCTTTCTCTTTCTTTCTTTCTTTGTTTCTCTTTCTTCCTCTCTCTCTCTCTCTCTCTCTCTCTCTCTCTCTCTCTCTTGTGCCAGTTCTGGGGCTTGAACTCAGGGCTTGGGCACTGTCTCTGAGCTTTTTAAGGCTAGCACTCTACCACTTGAGCCACAGCTCCCATTTCCAGTTTCAGTGGTTAATAAGAGATAAGAGTCTCACAAACTTTCCTGCCAAGGGCTGGCTTCAAAACATGATCCTCAGATCTCAGCCTCCTGAGTAGCTAGGATTACAGGTGTTAGTGACCTATTCCCAGCTCCATTGCTTCTTTTTCTGTGGACTCCAACAATATTAATTAAAACAAACCTTTCTCAGATCCTGAGGCCCAGTATGATATCCACGCCCAAGTAAAGAATGGATAGCAGATTTGGCCTGACTATATTTCCACATTTGTTTCTGTCAATAGAGTGATAAACTCAAGAGCTAAACAGAACAGAATGTTTAGACAATTACTTGCCTAGTGGTTTCTGATTAAATTATCTGTTCAGTTACCAGCCGAGTCAATGAAGATAATTTAAGTGTATTTTTCTGTAAAATGCTATCCTTCATTAAAACTGCTCTTCTCTGTTCTAATGCTGTCTGACTTTCTGAATAAGAGTTCTTGCTTTTTATTGATTGTCTTTGGTTGCAGAACTTTACACCCATAAAATTTATTGAGGATACAAATGGAGTGACTCATGTCTATGGGAGACAAAGATGGGAAGGACTACAATTCAAGTCCAACAGAGGCAAAAAGTTAGCAATACTCTATTTCAATCAATAGGTCAAGCACAGGGGTGCATATCCTAGCTTCTAGGGAGGCCATAGGTAGGAGGTTCATGGTCTGAGGCAAGTCCCACAAGAATGCAAGACTCTACCTGAAAAATGCTAAAGCAGAAAGAAGGCTAGAGATATAGTTCAAGTGGCAAAGTGCCTTCCCCGCAACCAGGTTAATCCGCTTTATCAGCAATGAAGAACACAAGTAGGGAAAAAGATTACTCAGGAGAAACCTTTCTTAGGGAAAGAAGTATACAGGAGAAGTGGCCCCAGATCAAGACAGAAAAGCAGCCTGTTGGTATAGCTAGAACACTTATGTTCTAAATGTAATTCCACCCATCACTTCATGGCTTTCCTTTCCTCATATAAGAATTGGGTTAGAGGCCTGTCTCAGTGGTAGAATACCTGCTTAGCAAATGCAAGACCCTGAGATCAAACTCCAGTATCTCAGAAAACAAACAAAAATAACACCCATCGCACAAGGATTTTTACTGAGTCACTGGGAGTTGTCTGAATAAGAGTAACTGCAGGGTAAGCAGGATCATCTAGAATTTACCAAGGCTTGATTTGCCCAATGTGGACTCTTCCAAAGCTCTAGTAAAAAGTGCCTGGAGAGTTAGTAAGTCCAATCCATACCCCTTCCTGATAAGAGGAGTATGTTTCCTCAAAGCCTTTGGGAAGCCTTCATTAATGTCATGATGATGACAGTCTGACTGGGTGGCAAGATCAAAAAGCATTCACAGCAAAAATTTTATCTAGCCAGAAACCCTTAGGGAGAATTGAATCCCTCTGATCTGTCTCAAAACCACTGAGATTTGGAACTTCAAAAGGCAACATAATTTTTTCCACAGCTTTCCATTTCCTTATGAATGGTACAATATCATTCTTTATGATGGATGAGTAGAACTCCATTGTGTATATATAATACATTTTCTTAATCCATTCATCCACTGGGTTGATTCCAAATCTTAGTAATGGTATTAAGCAAAGTAAGCCAGAACCAAAGAAACAGGTTACATGGTTTCCCTCATTTATGGTAACTAGAATGTTCCAATAAATGTACACGTAAACAAGCTGGATGGTAAAAGAAAAAGAAATACAGGTCTCTAGGCATTCACACAGTGAGACCAAAGAAGTATATTTTAGGAGAGGATCACAGCGGCACAATAGCTATGTACATATGATCCTATAAAATAATATTTATCAAAATTAAGAAATGGGAACAAAAGGCTTTTGTTTTTCTCTTCTTGTTTTCATTTCTTTTTGTCTTGTTTGTTTATCTGTTTTTGGGAGAGTAAGGGAAGCACAGAAATGATGGGCAAAGGGTGAACAAATGCAGCAGTGATACTCACCAAATACTATGTTGAAAACTCGTGGGTGGGGATGGAAGGGAAAAACTGGGAGAGAGAAAGGGTAGGGGTGACATTGTTCAAAAAGAAATGTACTCTTTATCTGACTTATGTAACCTCTGTATATTGCATTTACAATAACACTAAATAATTTTATTATAAAAGGCAACATGAGCTGGGTTCTAGTTGCTCACACCTGCAATCTTACCTAGTCAAGAGGCTGAGATCTAGGGAACACAGTTTGATCCCATAGCCACCCCAGGAAGAAAGCCAGAAGTGTTGCTATGGCTCAAGTGGTGGAGTGCTAGTCTTGAGCAATAAGGCTAAGAGACCGTGCCCAGGCCCTGAGTTTGAGCCCCCAAATAAAAAGAAAGCACAAAATTTAAAAAAAAAAAAAAGGTAGCCAGGTACTGGTAGTTCATGCCCATAATACTAGCTACGAAAGAGGCTGAGATATGAGGATCGTGGTTTGAAGCCAGCCCAGGCAGGAAAGTCCACAAGACTCTTATCTCCAATAAACTTCTCAGAAAAATCCAGAAGTGGTTCTGTGGCTCAAGTGGTAAAATGCTAGGCTTGAGCAAAAGGGACAGTGCCCAAGCCCTGAATTCATGTCCCCAGTACCAGCACCAAAATAAATAAATATAAATAAATAAAACAAAGGCAACATGAAATAATCCAGAAATTCTTTTTTTTTTTTAATATTTTTTTTGGTCCAGTCGTGGGGCCTGAACTCTGGGCCTGGGTGCTGCCCCTCAGCTCTTCAGCTCAAGGATAGTGCTCTACCATTTGAGCCACAGCGCCACTTCCGGCTTTTTTCTTTTTGCTTATGTGGTGCTGAGGACTCAAACCCAGGGCCTCCAGCATGCAAGGCAAGCGCTCTACCACTGAGCCATCTTTCTTGCCCAATCCAGAAATTCTTAAGCTGTGCTGTCTCAATCAAGAGCAGCATTAGCAGGCCAATGATCACAATTCAAAGCCAGCCTCGGCAAGAAAGTCCATAAGACTCTTATTTCCAGCTTAACCCAAAAAAGCCAGACTTTGAGCTGTGGCTCAAATGGTAGGGTGCTAGCCTTGAGCAAAAGGCTCAGAGGCAGTATTGAGTTCAAGCTCCATGACTAACTAACACACACACACACACACACGCAGCAGCAGCAGCAGCAGCAAGAACAGCAAAATTTATTAGCATTTTGTTAGAAATCTAAATTCTTGGGTCCAACCATTACATTCTGAATTAGAAACTCTGAATGTAGGACCCAACTTTAATAAGCCCTGTACATTTTTCTAAATGCTCATTAAATTGGGAAAGCCTCTATCCCAATAGATTCTCCTTCATAATTATTCATCTTTCCAGAAGTAAAATGCTCATAGACAAATCTCTCTGGTCTAATTTAATCATTGTCACTCTACTAGGCAGAGTTCCTATTTCATGCTAC